GTTTCTTGGTATAAAAATGGAGAGTTGAGAAAAGAAATCCAATGGGATTTCTTGCTTTAAGCATAGAATAATTCAGATCAGCCCTCTGCCCATTGGCTAATACTCTAGCTTACATGAGGAAGAAACATGTAGGTGTATGGCTGTGTTTTTCCAGTTTGGGTGTCCCACTTTTGTTCTTATTTCAATTTCTTCTCCAGTACCACAGCTACTGTAAAATGGGCATAGAGACAATTAAATGAGATTGAATTCCTCACCACCGGCAATTATGGCTATGAGAGTCTGCATAAATGCCAGATATTCTTGTTTTTAATGAATGATTGCTCTCAGGTATTTCTGATTCATGCAAGGGAGGTATAATTTGTGGTTGTATCATCTCTTCTGATATAATTCTTTCTAACATGATGTCTCTGACAGTAAGTTAGGTTGTCCCCAAGCCTCTCGCAGTCTAAAAGGATCTTGGATTTTCTGCCAGCGTGTTTCACCCCCTACTTCTCCCTGAAATAAAAAGGAAAGATGGAAAAAAAAAAACATTCTTTACTCTTTTGAACCCTGTTTGCTGGTATCATGATGGGAAGTAAGGGGACAGAGGCAGGGAGTATGAAAGACACCCCCGGCTCACAGTATGATTTATTCACTTATATGTCATCGTTGCACCCAATCCCAGAGAGCGCATTCATCTTCTTCTGAGCAATGGGAAGCCGGGGTGGAGGTGGGAGTGTGGCTGTGAGTCAGGAGACCAGGATTATACCACAGAGGCCTCCCTTAACTAGTTGTCTAATTCTTAACAAGTCTCTTTATCTTTCCAGGTTCATTTTCCTCATCTGTCAAGTCAGATGAAGATTACGGAATAGATGATCTCTAAAAATCCTTCCAGCCCTACAGTTCTATTCTGGGTCTGTCTGCACCTGCAACAGTGATGTGAGGGCAGCCAGGGCCCTAGGAGGGAGGCAGAGCTAGGCAAGAGAATAAAACACTTTCACCTGGAGCAGCCCTCATGTGCGTCATGCAGTACAGGCCTAGCTCAGATTTTCCAAATAATTCACTGACTCCCCTCATTTCTTTGTCAGTGGACGCACAGCTTTAGTTCTTCTGGGAGCAGCCGCTGCTTTTCTGAAATTTCCAACCCAGGGCTTCTGTCCTCCACAGTGTCCTCTCAGAAATCTGTCATGGTTTCTCTGGATGGATGCCCACAGAATTTTAATCCAGTCAGAGAGAGAGAGAGAGAGAAAGAGAGAGAGAGGGAGAGAATATTATGCATAACAAAAAGCCAAACCAGGTCATGGGCTGTTTCTTATTTAGTCTGGTTAATTCAAGGTGGAGTCCAGAGAAGTATCCTTGCACAACACTGCCTATGAGGCTGATTTACGGCCATGACTTTCTTCAGTTAAAGGGGTGCCTTGGTCAGGCAGAGGGGGAACTGTATGCTTTAGGGGCCTCCCTGAGTCCTGCCCAAGTCTCAGTATCTTCAGACTCTTGGTAAAGGTCTGTTTCTCAAACCAGATGTTTTCCCAGAGGGCCGTATTTTCCTCCCTTCTCTAATAAACATTTGCATTTTCAGTGCTCCTGTGTGTTTGGGGGGGGGGCATCCCTGCCCTCAGGAATCAGCTTTGTCCCCAAACATTGGTTCTCCAAGTTTAACTTGTGGGAAAATCCCCTGGAAAGCCAGCTAGGAATTTGAACTCCTGGAAGCTCCTCTGAACCACTGACCTAACAAGTTTCCTGCGGCCAGGAAACTAAATTTTTCTCAGCGCAGTCACTTGATGTAGAAGGGTGATGTAGAAAGACCCCTAAAAATGTTCACAGCTAGAAAGATATTGCATGATTAGGAACATTTTTTTGTACTTCCATGTCTATTTCATGTTTTGGAACAAAAAAAAACATGAAAATTGCAGTCTAATAATCAGGATTCCCCACATTAACTTAAAGTCATTGCTTTGTGGCTTTTTGAGACACGCCAAGATCACCTGGAGATTTGGAAAATTTAAAGCAGGGACCATGTGGGCAGTGACAAAGGACACCTCTCTGAGGAGCTGGTTAAAAAAAAAAAAAAAAAAAAAAAAAACATAGGTAACTTTGGAGTCAGACAGGGCTGAGTTCGAGTTCTGCACTTAGCCACTGGGGACTGCACAAGTTACTGATCTTCTGAGTTTCTACTCTGAAATACTACTACCTCCCAGATGAGGGAACTAAAAAAATATAATGCATTTATGCATCTAGTAGGACTGCTCAATAAAGAGTTCCCACTGAAAACAAAGTATGTTACTATTTTGCGTTACAAAGAGCAGAAGAGTCAGGGACCTCTAAGTCCCCACTTCAAATTTGCTTCGGCCACCACTGCTCACGAGTGTGTGTGTGTGTGTGTGTGTCTCCTTTCTAAAGCAAGAAGGATGCTCCCAATCTGCCCTCTCCCCATAGATCTAAAAGAAGTAGTGGGCTGGGACTTTTTCTTTTAAAAGACTTCTCTTTGGGCCTTGGGCCTGGCGCCACAGGTGTCTTCGTGGGTTTCCAAAGCTGCAGAGCCCTCGGAGGAAACCCGGAGGCGGAACAGCCCGCTTGGCCTGGGGACCAGGAGGCCGGTTTGGTCGAGGCTATAGTCTGAGACTCTACATAGCCCTCGGGGACCCTAAGGAAGCTGGGGGTCCCACCTTGTCCTGCGCACCCTGTCTGCCTCAGTTCGAGGGTGCGACTCCCTCTCCTGCCAGGCGGCAAGGAAGGGCCCTGGGGTCAAGATCCAGGACTCCTGCTCACCAGATGCTGCAGGGAAACGGGACCCTCCGGGGAAGCACCCGCATTCCAGGGACCCTCGCTGCAGACGCGGTGATGGGAACCAAGACCCTAAGTAGCTAGCGCTTCCAGATCGCTCGGCCCACGCACGGGCGAAGCCCTAGGGGTCTCGAGGCGCCAACCCCGGCTCTTAGACGCTGCAGGAAGTAAGCGGGAAGTTGGCCGGATTTTGTCCAAATCTTGCTCCACGTCTTCAGCGCCGGGCTGTCGCGAGGACCCTTCGGCGCTCCGCTGCCTCCCGCCGCTAGCGACCCGGCCCGGCCGGCGGCGATCAAAGGTGTCGGGCTCCGCGCGCAGCGCCAGAGGCGCGGAGGAAGGGGGCCCTCGGCCGGCTGGGGAGCCCAGCTCGAGATAATCAGCCTCCCCGCAGTAGCAGGAAGGAAAAGCCCCAGGTCCACGGGGCCTGCAGGGCCACAGACACCCTCGGGACCGGGCCGAGCACTGCACCTCCGGAGGACTCGGGGGCGGCGGCGTGAAGGATGAGGAAGCCGGGCTGCGCCGCCCCTCCGGCCCCCCGACGTTTGCAGGGCCCCGCGGGGCGGCGGGCGGACGG